CTTGAAAGTGTAGTTGTATGAGATAGAAATGTTGCTATTTGAGGTACATAAAAGCGTTGCCATTTTGCCTTTTAGGCTACGCTTTTAAGCGTAGATAATAAGGCAACACTTGAAAAGTGTTACGCCTAAACTCTAAGGTTACGCCTCTTTCGGCCACCCCTGGAAAAGTGTTGCTTAAAGTCCAAAAGTGTAGCCTTTTATCAAAGGCCACACTTTTTACTAGTTTAGGCTACACTTTACTGGGGTGGCCGTAGTCCTAAAATGTTGTAGTGATAGTTTAGTATAACTTTGGTGGAAGTTTTTCCCGCCTAGCACCTTCCGTTGCAATTTGGGACCATGTATTAAGATCTTTATGGACCGGATTTTGTACCTTCGCAATAAAATATATTAATAAGGACCGGAATATTATCTCGTCCTAGTACATATACCTTTAGAGACGAGATTATTATCTTGTCCCTAAACGTTGGTCATAAATAAGGCTTTTTCTTGTAGTGACTCTTACGGGTGTGGATATCTGGTATGTACTCCCTCAGTTCTGGATCTTTTCACACCCCAATAAAAATGCTTATCTATGTTATGTTAAATTGCTGCTCATCTTTGTGGCTTCCATTTTCTTTTTGCTTATCACTCCAGTTTTAGTTTTGTGTGTTGGAAGGATGTATATACCCTACATTATGAACTGTATTGTCTTGGTACTTATTACTGAAAATAATTTCACATTGCTGGGTAATATTTACATTTATTAAGAAATCTTACAAGAGGTAACACAACCTTACGATGTTTTCACGTTTCAATCTGAAATATCATCAATCATGAAGGTAGTTTAGATTTGCACATATCACAGGAAACATCTACTCTCTCATATATGTCTATTTTACTTGGCCTACATTCTCTTTTTACTCTGTTCTGATTTACTTAAACTCCCCCATAGACTCTTATATAATAGTATTAATATCTCCCAGAAATATTGACATTGTACATTTGCTGAACCGAACAATAATTGAATTAGATACAGTTGTAAAGGCTAACTTGAGAATTCATTACATAAGCAATGAAAAATAGATTAATCTGCATACTTTTTAATAATGTGCAGAAAAAAAAAGACTAATCTGGCTGTACTGCTTTACTTCATTGGACGATGGGATCCTAGCAACAAATATATTGATTACTTGGCAGATGGTGTGTTGATAAATACCGAATCAACATTTGCCACCCTCGTTTCTATAATTGCTACTCAATTGTCAATAGACATATCAACAAGTAAAGTTGAAATCAAATAAAAAATTGATGAAAGGTCTCCTCCAATTCAAATTCATAATGATATGGGGTAAAAGTATATGTTGAAACCAAAAAGGAACATCGAGATATGGCAAGATACCCTTTGTGTGTCACAACAACTGAACCAGTCAACTTGGAGACTAATTCTTCACTCATTCCACTTTTATGTTCAGACACTTCAGAAGATATGAGGGTTATACACAATTCATACTTCTCTAATACATTTAATGGTATTGGTGAAGCAATAGGGTTAATTGGCTTTGGATCATGTGAGGAAGTTGATGAGCTAGAAGAATTAGTACTAGGCATCATTGTTAATCCCAATCACTCTTTATTTGAGAAAGATCAAGTGTATAAGAATAAATATATCCTCACCAGTGTACTAAAAAGACATTCCATTCTTAAGCATTTTCAATTCAAGACAACAAGATCAAGTTCAATCAGGTAAGACCTAAATTCAAGTCACTTTAAATTATTGATTGTATATTAGTTTTTTTTCAACAGCTATTCGATACAGTTCTTAGGTGAAAACTGTAGTTGGAGTTTATGAGCTTCAAGCTCGAAGAAATCTCAAATGTTCAAGATTAGAGAATTTGAAAGCGAACACACATGTTTGTTGCTACATAGTTCATTATCAGAAAGGCAAGCAACTAAGAGTGTTGTTGGGAGTATTATTATGGGTAAATGTGCTAAACCAGATGTTATTTACACACCAAAAGATATAGAACGTGACATGTTAGCTGAATATGTTGTGCAACTCACATATATGCAAGCTTGGAGAGCTAAAGAAGCAGCTCTTGAATTAGTTCGGGGTGATCCAATTAAATCATATGCAAAGTTGCCAAGCTACTTTCACATACTAGAGGCAACTTACCCTGGTTCTCATATAAGATTGCACAAATCATAGGATGACCGTTTTCTATATGTGTTTGTAGCTTTGTTCACCTCGATAAAAGGGTGGGAATATTGTAGACCAATTGTAGTTGTTGATGGAACTTTCTTAAAAGGAGCATACAAAGGGACACTACTAACCGCTAATACCTTAGATGCAACAGGTGAGACTTTCGAATATGATACTAGTATTTTCTATATTGAATTTCTGAACTATGAATTAAAAAATGAATTATAATTGAAGTAAATATGTATTAAAATTGTATTAAACAAATAGTACATGGTGCATGGAGTATATATACTGCCACTTGCTTATGCCATTGTTGATTCAGAGAATGATGCGTCTTGAAGGTGGTTTTTTGAGCAATTTAGAGACGCATTCGGTCAAAGATTAGAGATGTCTATTATTTTCGATAGGCATGCAAGCATTATTAAGGCAGCTTCGAGAGTCTATGATGAAGTACCTCATTTTTCGTGTATTGGCACTTACTGCAAAACATAATGAAAAACTTCAGAAAAAGTCAGCAAAGGGTAACTGAGTTGTTCTACTCTATGGCAAAAACATACACCATGACAGAATTTAATCAATGTATGACAATAGTTGAGAAGATAGATAAGACGATCCAAGATTACTTTCTAAACATTGGATACAACAAATGGTCGCGTGTGCATGCTGAAGTAAACAGAACTTGGATGATGACATCAAATATAGCAGAATCAGTCAATTCAAGAACAAAACATGCCAAAGTTCTTACAGTCTTACACCTCTTGGAATTCATGAGACAGCTTGTCCAGAAATGGAATAACAATAACAGATCAAAGGCGACATTTTCGGGTTTTCACCTTGGG